CGCCAGCCTGGTCTATAGACTGAGTTCCAGGACAGCTTTCAAGGTTTCTAAATAGAGAAACCTTGTCTCAGAAAAATAGCAACAACAAAAACAAAACAAAACAAACAAAGCATGTCTTAAACAAAAACCCATATGCATATGAAAAGTGTTTCTAGAACTGTGTTCATCTTCAATTTTATTAAAGATCTTTAAAATGGTTTACAAGTCTCAATAACTATTTAATAAAACTGACATTCATGACAATGACAGAAACAAAATCATAATACTGACATATGAGAATTCAAATCTATACTTTTCCATCTTTTCTAATTAATTTTTCACAAAATCATTTTGAACCTTTACATAAATCATACTGTTTTGCATAGAGTTAGAAACATGATGAATGCAATATACAAAGTATATGTCCAGACACACTACAGGACATCTTAAGTTGCCTTTGAAACCTTGCTTTTTTTCACAGTGTGAGTCCTGAACCACAGGCAGAGAAGTAACAGCTCTTCTCCTGGGCACATCATTAGACGATGTGCAAGATGTTATAACATATTGCCTTAAATGACTTGAAAAACCCTACTTAATGACTCCTGATGTCTGATTTCATTTTAGAAAGTTTTTTTTAAGTTTTTTTTTTAAAGATTTTATTTATTATGTATACAACATTCTGCTTCCATGTATATCTGCACACCAGAAGAGGGCACCATGTCTCATTATAGATGGTTGTGAGCCACCATGTGGTTGCTGGGAATTGAACTCAGGACCTCCGGAAGAGCAGTCGTTGCTCTTAACCTCAGAGCCATCTCTCCAGCCCTCATTTTAGAAAGTTTTTAAAGTTAGGGCTCATTTAGCAAAGAGTCCAATTGGAAAATGGAGGAAGAAGTGAACAGAGATTTAAAAGACGATGGGGAGCAGTTGGCAAAAGGCACCTGAAATAATAATATTCAACATCACCAAATGCTGGGGAGAGAACATGGAAAAACTGGATCGCTCACACACTGAAGGTAGAAACAAAATGGGACAGCGCCCTGTATAACGACTCTTTATTCTTTTCTTTTCTTTCCATTTTGCAGTGCTGGGGATCAAACCTAGGGTCCTGTGCACGTTAGACAAGCACTCTCTCTGCCACACTGAGCTTCCTCCCAACCTAAGAACCACTAAAGCTGTAGTTCCTGTATCGGTTTTTCCTAAGCATGGCCAATAACTACCTAGATATGAAAAAGGAAGAAAGAAAAAAAAGAGGCAGAAAGACTTTGAGACCAGAATAACAAGTTAAGAATTATTAAATTCTGAAGGCTCCTTCAGGCTTTTGATTCCCCATCAGGAGAATCTTAATAGTTCAGGGCGTGTCTGAAACTTCTTATTCTTATTTTAAAAGCACAATCTAAACTTCCTAAAGGGGTTAAGAATTGTTCAAGTGGATTCAAATCTTCCTTAGACTATTTCTGGATGGCTCTAGACTCAAAGTTGAAGGACTCTGAGGCATAGCAATTATCTCTCCTCAAGGAATTGTAAAAGGTGAAGGTTGGCAGTGGTGCATGCCTTTAATCCCAGCACTAGGGAGGCAAAGGCAGGATGATCTCTGAGAATTCAAGGCCAGCCTGGTCTACAGATTGAGTTCCAGGACAGGCTCCAAAGCTACACAGAGAAACCCTGTCTCAAAAAAACAAAGAAAAAAGAACTATAAAAGTCACTCTGTGTGTGTGTGTGTGTGTGTGTGTGTGTGTGTGTGTGTGATAAACCTTTAGTCCTAGAACTCGGGAGGCAGAGGCAGAGGCAGGTGGATCTCTGTGAGTTTGAGGCCAGCCTAGTCTATAGAGTTTTAAGACAGCTAAGGCTACACAGAGAAACCCCCGTCTCTAAAAAACAAAGAATTGTAAAAATCTTGCTAGCCTCTTGGGCTGTTCTATTTTCTGTTAAAAATCAGTCCCCAGAGCCAGGCACAGTGGGTCTATGGAACCTTTAATCCCAGGACTTGGGAGGCAGAGGCAGAGGTAGGCAGATCTCTTGAATTCAAGGCCAGCGTGGTCTACAGATTGAGTTCCAGAACAGCCAGAGCTACACAGTGCGACCCTATCTCTAAAAGTAACCAAACCAAACCACCTCCACCACCACCACAACAAAATCAAAACAAAACAGAAAATTGGTCCCCAGTATAGATGTTTTGTTTAAGGGTTACTTCTGAAGTTCCTTCTTTCTGATAGCACCAGAATGTTGGGTACTCTTAAAATACAATGTCACTTATCTGCAGTCAAATATATAAAACCTGTGAATGAAAGTTTCAACTATACCTCAAAAAGTTAAAAGTGCATGTTTGGCATGCACCAGGCTCCAGGGTCAATTCCCAGACCCAACAAAAAAGCTGCTATACCCAAGTGTATCAATGGATGTATATCTCTACAAAAATAAATTTGAAAATGATTTTTTTACAATAAACATCATGACTCTAGTTGTAAATATCTTCCTTTTCAATAAGTATAAGATATTATCAATAAATGTAACATCAAAGATAAATGTGAAGCAAAAACTCCCCCATAAACAATGAAGGCACAGTGTTAAGTTGGGGAGGGGCAGGGTGTAATAGAGAGCAAACATGGCTTCAGGTTTGGGACAATGATCTTTCCTTGTTCAGAGAAGTGAAGCAAAGCCAGGCTTGGTGATTCATGCATGTAATCCTAGCACCCAGGAGACTGAGGCAGGGACACCCATGAGTTCAGGCTAACCTGGGCCACAGAGTAAGACCCTGTCTTGGAAAAATGGGGGTGAGGACAGACCAAATCACAGATGATCTACAGAATAGATCTATGTCAGTGTAGATCTATGTCAGTGTTGCAAGGTGTGGTGGCACACACCTTTAACCCCAGAACTCAGGAGGCAGAGGCAGGCAGGCAGAACTCTGTGAATATGGAGACAGCCTGGTCTACATGGTGAGTTCCAGGATAGCCAGAGCTATATGGTGAGATCCTGTCACAAAAACAAAAGAAAGATCAATGCTAGCATTGAGAAACCATATCACAGATGGATACAAGAGATTTGAAGATAAGTAAGTCAGAGTATAAAGCAGTTAGTACCACTTTAAAATGGGTTGCACAGGAACACCATCCTTATTGAGTTGGCTGGAGACTGACCACTTAAAATCCCTGGTAGGTCTACAATAGGAGAAGGAAATATGCTAAGAAATACTAGCATATTAGCCGGGCATGGCACATGCCTTTAATCCCAGCACTTGGGAGGCGGAGGCAGAGGATTTCTGTGGGTTTGAGACGAGTCTGTTCTACAAGAGCTAGTTCCAGGATAGCCTCCAAAGCCACAGGGAAACCCTGTCTCAAAAAAATAAAAAATAAAAATAAAAAGAAAGAAATACTAGCATATCAAGTTTATTTTCAAAAGGGACAATGTTCTCCAGTTGTTTTTGACTAACAACTGTCTCTACAGCCACAAATGACATAGTATTCCTGATTTTACCTAAATCTTACAAGAATCACTAAGCTCTGTCACTAAAATATGGCCAGAAAGTCAAAGAGCCAAAGATTAGCTTCTAGATCCACAGAAGAAAAAAACAAAAAAGTCACTGATCTTTCAAGAGTGGCTCAATTTGGGTGAGACATTAGCTGTTTTTCACATTATCTAAAGGGCATTTATCCTTCACTCTGTAGTTGTGTGCTAAGAAGAGCATAGGGAAGAAATGGAAAACAAACCTATAGTAACTAACATCACGATTCAGTCTATCCTAATACAAATGGACAGAATTACTTCCTATGAAATCATAACCATCAGCAGAACCTACACACAATCATTTAAATAAAGCAGCTTTCACATGATTGATGGGAAAACCTATGATTGATCACAAAGCTATGTAAAAACATTGAAGGAGAGGAAGAATAAGATATCTACAGATGATCTGATTTGTTACAGTAAACAAAAATACCTCTAACAAAAAAGATTTCCAAATCTTTGTTAGAATTATTATTATTATTATTATTATGGAGAATGTGTGCACAGCACCTTGCACATGTGGAGGTCATAAGAAAACTCTGGAGTCAGTTTTCTCCCTCCACCTTTACATGGGCTCCTTCAGGAGACAGAAGTCAGGTCGGCAAGTTTGTATGACAAGTGCCTTTACCTGCTTAGCCGTCTTGTTGGCTCTCCAAATGTTAATGGAGTTAATGATGCTACAGTTTGCTACAATGTTTCCATCAAGAAACTAGAAACTTCCTTAAAGACTGCAGACACTAGCAGCGGAAGGAAACAACTTGCACAAAGCACAATGTAACTATTCATTCAGCATAACTGACTCCCAAATGGACCTATGATAGCAGCAACAACATTCCCACTAACAGTTGCTCCTTTAGTGAGATAATTATGTAGTAAATAGTTCTATAATGGTAGCATTTTTATATGTTATTGACTATTACGGGAACAAGTTCATTCACTCTTGAAAATCCAAATCCCCAAATGGAGAGACAGGCAAGTGATGTAGAAGAGGCTGGAGCACCATCAACTGTCCCACAACAATTTTATACCCAGCTGAGGCTTCTCTCAATGCACTCATTGACACTGTTTCCAGTAACAAAGCTTCATTAGGTGAGACTGGCTCATGGTACACAGCCTTACAGCAATCATCAAGTACACACAAATGGTCCATCACCTTATCTGCCAGCCTTGCTATCTCTCAGAGGTGAGCAGCACAAACAAACACCAAAAATCACACTGACAAGTAACCCATGAAAGCAATTTTTAAGTTACCAATAAACTAGGGCACTTAAAGTAAACTCTGATGTCAAGTATGGCACACTCCTACAGTCCTAGCACCTCTGGAGACTGAGTCAAGAGGATTGGGAATTTTAGGCCAGCCTGAGCTACATAATGCGACTCAGTTGCAAAACAAAACAAAAGCCAAAGAAACAAAAACTAATAATAACTTAAACACTGTCAAGTAGGCACTTTTTAAAAAAGGAACACTTATGCAAGCATTTCAAAAAATAAAGAAATCTAAAGAACTAGAAAGATTTACATTAACTACTTGCATTTTATAAAAATAGACTGTTACATAGAACTCTGGAGACTAAGGCAGGAGGCTCAAGAGTTAGAAACCAGCATGAGTTGGATGGCAGATATTTTCTCAAAGAAACAAAATGAAAGGTTTTATTTTGTTTTTAAATCCAGGGCCTCATTAAGTCACCGGGATTGCCTAGAATTCCCCGAACTGCCCAGATAGGCTTCAAGTTCACGCTCTCTGCTGCCCTCAGCCTCTAAAGTCCTGGAATCAAAAACATTTGCCACCACGCCTGGCCTTTTTAGCCCACTAACTAAAACCGGTTCCTCCACCTCAGCTCAGCATGAAGAGGCACACTTAGAATCCCAGAATGTGGAAGCTGAGGCAGGAGAATCTGAAGCTTCAAGCTAGCCTGGGCTATACAGTGACCATACCTCAACAACAATAACAAAGGTTGTACAAGGAAGAATTAAGGGCGTGTCTTCACGCACAACAGAGGAAAGTGCTGACTAATGAGCTCTCCTCAGAGTGGCACAAAAAGTGCTCAACAGTCCACTTGATTTTAAATTTAAGAAAACTTTTTCATAATTTTTAACAAAATGTGATGGTGCTTGACCCAGAATAGCTACCTCTCTAAGGGTGAATAACGATGACCTATGTGACATTGACCTGGTATAAAAAAAAAAAAGAGGATACAAAATTATCAAAATGCACTTGGGAGTGGAAAATGTCCTTTGGAAGTTGCTAGAAGAAGACACAATTTTGAGGTATCGCCTTAAAATTTCACTAAGATTTGGACTTAAAAAGTAAAATATTTTTCTGGTGAGTTTTTAAAAAGAGCAACACTTTTTCTCTCCGCTAGTGGGGTTCAGTTTAAATCAGCTCCTCTCCGCCACAGTCGTTCATGTCGGGAATCCCTGAGCTTCTCTCATCTGTGCGACCCGCCAGCCTGCCATGTGGGGTTTCCGCTGGCTGCGCAGTGCTATGCCTTGTTATACCAATTCATGGAGCGCTTCACGGCTTTCACCCAGTTTTCCATATTCATTTCGTATTCCTGCCACTTCTTCTGAGGCTTGAAAACCATTTCACTTCGCCTTAGCTTCTGCAGCTCTTCCTTGTCCGCCCAAAATCCTATGGGTGAAAAGGAAATCTCAGAATCTAAGGCATTCATGAAATATATCCACCAGTGAGTTGTGAACAAGGAGGACAATACGTTAAAACAGTCGTGGCTTTGGAAGTGTATACATGACCAAACAGATACACTAGGGAATAGATAAACTAGGATTTGTTTATTTTTATTTTTTAGTTTTTAAAAAAAATTTTTTTTGGAGGGTTTGGAGACAGGGTTTCTCTGTGGCTTTGGAGGCTGTCCTGCAACTAGCTCTTGTAGACCAGGCTGGTCTCGAACTCACAGAGATCCGCCTGCCTCTGCCTCCCGAGTGCTGGGACTAAAGGTGCATACCACCACCACCCGGCTGATAAACTAGGATTTTAAAAACTATTTTGCTTTTTAACGCTTAGCTTTATTTTTCCATGTTTGTCCTGGGATTGAACAGAGAGCCTCACACACAATAGGCAAGTGTTCTCTCTCTCTCTCTCTCTCTCTCTCTCTCTCACACACACACCCACACACACACACACACACACACACACACACACGTGGGAACGGTGACAGAGTCTCACTGAAGAACACATCTATAACTATAACACAACCTCAAACGATAAGGTGTCTTGTCAGGAAGTTCACTACTTAAGTGCTCATTTATTTATTTATTTTGGATTTTCAAGACAGGGTTTTTCTGTGTGGCTCTGGCTGTCCTAAAACTCACTCTGTAGACCAGGCTAGCCTCAAATTCAGAGATTTGCCTGCATCTATGCCCTGCCCACATCCCAGAGCTAAGATTAAAGGTATGTGTTAACACACCAGACTCGACTTCAAGTATTTCTTTTTTTCTTTTAGTGTCATTCCCGTCTCCACAACTTTTTTTGTTTGTTTTTTGTTCTGGTTTGGTTTGGTTTTTTTGGTGACAGGGTTTCTCTGTGTAGCCCTAGCAATCTGGCAATCCTGGAACTGCCTCAATTTTACAGAGATCCTTCTGACTCTGCCTTCTGAATGCTGGGATTAAAGGCATGTATCGCCACCAAGCAGCCTTCAAGTATTTCTTACAAATTACATTTTCTCTTACCAACAGAAAGATATTTTACATGTGTGTATGTGAGTGTGGTGTGTGTGTATGTGTACACATGCACATTTTCAGACAGCACACATGTTGCTGAGGCCAGCCTGAAATTCTTGATCCTCCTGCATCTACCTCTGGAGTGCTGGAATCACAGGCAGGCATTTGTCATCACACCTTTTTTTTTCTAAAATTTTCTTGCATTTATGAAGTTAGTTATTTGCACTATACTCAAATGACTACTAATACTTTTTATGTGAAAACCAGTTGTATATCAGTAAATAAATTTAGTCATGAAAATAAATGTGTGTTTTGTGTGTGTGCAGTAACTCATTTCTTAATACCAGCACTTGAGAGGACTTAAGACAAGAGAATTTGAGATTGAGACCAGCCTAGGCTACAGGGCATGATTGCCCACAGAGTAAATAAATAATACATTTTAAAATTTTATTTCCAGCCCGGCAATGGTGGCACAAGCCTTTTATCCCAGCACTTGGGAGGCAGAGACAGGCAGATCTCTATGAGTTCGAGGACAGCCTCCAAAACTACAGAGAAACCCTGTCTCAAAAAACAAAAACAAAAACAAATCTATTTCCAGAACTTATTACTTATGTTTAAGGTAAACATGTATATATGTGTCATTTTATTAATTATATTTAGAATAAACCCAGTTTCTAGGTAAATTTAGAAAACTTAGAGGCTATATATACCTACTCTTCACACATTTCTGAGAGAAGCAAAAGTTTGGAATTAAATATAGATTTAATGAAGTAGATAAAACTCAACCCACCTGAGTTTGTTAATCAGAGCATTTGTATATGTCTTTGTGTATGTATCTGTGTGTATTTATGGTTTTGTATATCTGTATTTGTATTTGTGTGTCTGTGTATATATCTCTGTGTACTCGTGCGTGCGTGCGTGCGTGCGTGCGTGCGTGCGTGCGTGCGTGCGTGCGTGCGTGCGTGCGTGCGTGCGTGCGTGCGTGCGTGCGTGCGTGCGTGCGTGCGTGCGTGCGTGCGTGCGTGCGTGCGTGCGTGCGTGCGTGCGTGCGTGCGTGCGTGCGTGCGTGCGTGCGTGCGTGCGTGCGTGCGTGCGTGCGTGCGTGCGTGCGTGCGTGCGTGCGTGCGTGCGTGCGTGCGTGCGTGCGTGCGTGCGTGCGTGCGTGCGTGCGTGTGTGTGTGTGTGTGTGTGTGTGTGTGTGTTCTGATGCTGCTGTGCATCACTGTGCCTGGGGTCTCGCTGTGGAGCCCAGTAGCCACCCCTCTTTCTCTCTACAGCAGCACTTTGCTTTTCGCCTTCATTTCAAAGCCTCTGGAACCACCAGCTTCTCACTTTCCCCTCAACCTGCTCTGTTAGAAGCTAGGCCCCAGCTTCTGGAACTCCTTCCCCAGTGGCTTCACACCATCAGTCTTTGCTGGGTTTATCACAGAGCTGATCACCAGCTGCCTCTATCCGAGGCTTTTATTTCTTGATTCCCAGCAGTGACTATCCTGTAGAAGACACTCAACAAAAGCTGTGAGTAAAAGAATGGCTGATTTCTAGAATGAGGAGGGGTCTAGTGGCAGAAACTTTCCAACTTTACACCACAGTGCATCTGATCTCTTCAACAATGCCACAACTTCCAGGCCCCAAGGTTTACCCCAGGGGCTATCTGGCAATCCTGTTAGGTTGGTTTAGCTAGAATTTCACTAGCATTTCCTTTTAATTAGTTTTCACCTCTTGGCTTCACCCTGTTCTCTGGCTCTACATTCTCCCTTGTAACGTCCTCCATAAGTGGTAACTACGGTGGTTTCCATACCTCAAGAGACTCCCTGAACTTAACAGTTCTTTTCTTTAACATTGTACACTGAGAAAGTTCATCCCAAGACCATCCCTTGCTGACCCTGAAATGTCCTTACCTCACAGTACTTCTAGGAAGTTAATTTAGGACAGTTAGGCTGACACACCCACAAAGGAGGTTGGTCAGAGGACCACTGGTGAGTCCATGTGTTACAGGCACCTGTGTGGACACAAACTTTCCAGGTGCTCTCTGTAATTTTGTGACTGCAGATGAGCAGAGCTATTGCAGAAACAGCTTACAAGAAGGCGCTTGTTTTTTGTAAAGTCCACACATACCAACAGCAAGGCCAGCCAGGGTGGCTGCGCCCAAGCAGGACATGTCGAAATGGGCTGGTCTGTCTATCCTCTCGTTAATCAAGTCTGAAGTCATCTGCATGACAAAAGCGTTGTTACACACTCCTCCGTCTGCCCTGTGGGAAGCAAGATCCATGAAGCTAGTTACTGTGAGAACATTAACTGTTTGATTTATGAAGTTAACTTTTGGGGAGGGGAGAGGGCTAGGAGTCAGGTACCACTGAGCTGTGTCCCCAACCTATCTACACTTCTATTGTTTTTTAGTAGGAGAGATTTTGTTTGGTTGGTTTTTTAAGACAGGGTTTCTCTGTGCAGTCCTGGCTGTTCTGGAACTTGCTTTGTAGACTAGGCTGGCCTCGAACTCAGAGATCTGCCTGCCTCTGCCTGCCTCTGCCTCCCAAGAGCTGATTAAAGGAATGTGCTACCACCGCCTGGTAAGTAAATACTGTTCTTTATTCAGGTCTCAGATCCCATTTGTTTAGGTGCTAGTTCAAAATTATGATGAGTAAAACAAACTAAGGCAACAGAAGAATTCCTTTGCACATTAAAGAAGGTAAGACAATCTGATGTTTCCACACAAAAGGATAGCGATAACATAATAAAGAAACACTAATGATTTCTATATAATATATATGCTTGACAGATCCCCGAAATTTTTTTTATGGGGGAGGGGGACGACAAGGTCTCAACCCATGCTGTCTTTTTTTTTTTTTTTTTTTTTTTGGTTTTTGAGACAGGGTTTCTCTGTGGCTTTGGAGGCTGTCCTGGAATTCATTCTCGTAGACCAGGCTAGTCTCGAAGTCACAGAGATCCGACTGCCGCCTCTGCCTCCCAAGTGCTGGAATTAAAGGCGTGCACCACCACCCACCCTGATCCCTGAAATTTCTAAGTGCTATAGTCTCAATAATCTAAAACTAGCATTTTCCTCTCCAAATTGCTATGACCAACAATTTTATTGCTGAAGAACTAGTCATAAGCTTTGGAAGTCAAGAAAAAAATGAAAATAAATAATGGCTACTTTTTTTTTTTTTTTAATTTCTAGTTTGTTTTGTGGTGCTGAAACCCAGGGGAATGTTCAAACACTGAGCTAATTCACCAGGCTGACTTTGTAGCTCCTAACTGGACCTGTTATAAACAAAGCTTACATACCGGATATTCGTGACTGGGATCTGGATTTCCCTCTGCATCATATCATATAACTGCTTGTTCCTAGTCAAAGACAAGATAACTATTGAGAGCATATTCATGTCATAATTCTGTATTTCATGCTGATATTGCAAACAAATAAGAGTTATGGTTTTATTTACTTGATAAATGATTATTTTACAACTAGGTTTAATTTATTGGCAGTCTATAAAGGAGCATTCAAGCAATTATCTATTTGGTAGCCCTTACTATGATATATTCAAACAACATGTAAAAGTACCAAATGTATCATTTTGTATTCATAAAAATTACTTTAGATGAAAGAAACACTCTTTATTTATGAGAATTCAATTATTTTTTGAAGATTTATTTACTTTGTAAGTGTATGGGAATTTTGCCTGTAGGTGTATATGTGCACAGTGGAAGATTTAGTTACTCTGTAAGGGTATGGGAATTTACCCTGTAGGTGTGTATGTGCACAGTGGGAGTGAGGTATCTATGAGACAAGACAAGGACATCAGAGCCCCTGGACATCAGAGATGGTTGTGAGCTGCATTCAGGTGCTGGGAACCAAACCTGGATCCTGTGCAAGAGCAACCAGTGCTCTTAACCACTGAGATATTCTCCCAGTTCCCAATTATTATTATATATATTTTTATGAAACAGAGTCTCACCTAGCCAGTATTGCCTTGAACTCCTTCCCTATGTAGCCAGGGCTGTCCCATGTCCCCTGATCCTATTGCTTTTACATCCTAAGGTTTTAGGATTATAGGCATGTGACCTCACACCTGGTGACAGTTCCTTTTTTTAAACTTTTTTTTCCCCCTAAGACAAGATTTCATTATGTATCCCCGGCTGGCCTGGAACTCACTCTGTAGACCAGGCTGGCTTTAAACTCACAGAGATCCACCTGCCACTGCCTCCCAAGTACTAGTGACTTTTCTCATTGCAATGATAAAATAAGTGACAGAAAGAAACTTAATGAGGGAAGAGTTAATATGTGGTCACAGTTAGAGGGCACAATCAATGACAACAGGAAGTCTGGGGCAATAGAGGTGTGCGGCACATCCACAGCCAGGAAGCAGAGAGAAATGCATCCTGGGCTTAGTTGACAGTTAGAGCAGGTCTCCCTGCCTCACCTAACCTACTCTAAAACGCCCTTGTACACAAGACCAGAGATTTCAAGCTGACAACTGGTATTAACCATATACTACACTTGTCCAATAATCAAAAGACCAGGAGAAACACATAAAGAATAATTCTTACTACCCAGTCTTTGGGTGTAACAGATTGCTGTGATTTGAATTCTCCCTTGTGAGAATCATAGAGATAAGATTGAGACCCTCACATACTCGAAGTACAAGCTCTATTACTGAGCTATATTCCTAGCCTGGTCTATCTTAAAAAAAAATCATTCCATTTTATGTATCAAATCTAAGTGGTACTGGTACCATTAAATACAGCCACAAGAACAGATTATATCATGTGTACCATATACTGAATTGAGGGGCTGGAGAGATGGCTCAGTGGTTAGAAGCACTTGGTGATCTTCCAGGAGAGCTGGGTTCAATTCCCAGGACCCAAATGGAGGCTCACAACAGTCTGGAAGTCTGGTTCCAGGGGATCTGACACCTTCTTCTAGCTTCTGTAGGCACCAGGAATGAACATGATGGACAGACATAGATTCAGGCAGGGCATCCATACACATAACATAAAATTTAGATTTTTAGAAAATAAAATAAAAATTTGAAATCATATACACACACTACATTGAAGGCATAAGTTTAATGATTTAATTAAAATTAAGAGTGCTAGAAGGCAGCTTAGCAGGAAAGGGTGCTTGCCATCTTGGGACCTTCATTAGACCCAAGAAGGCACATAAGAGTGGGAGGAGAGTACTGACTGCACAGAGTTGTCTTTTGGCCTCCATGGTGCATAAACATATCTACCCAAATACACATACATTAGTCAATCATAAAATAAACACTCTTAAATAAATGAAATTAAGGAAAGCTTCTCTTTCACTTTATAGAATTAAGCTGCTCACACCTGTAATTTCTGGACTAGGGAGACCAAACAAGAGGTTCCCCATGATTTTGAAGGCATACAAGATGAGTTTCAGGCTAGCCTGAGCAGTTTAAAATCCTGTCTCAAAAAAAAAAAAAAAAGCCAAAAAAACAAAAATTAAAACAACCCTTCAAGAGCTGGAGGGATGGCTCAGTGTTTAAGAGCACTGGCTGCTCTTGCAGAGGACCTGGGTTCAGTTCCCAGCACCCACATGGCAGCTCACATCTGTCAATAACTCCAGTTTCAGGGGATCCAACACATCTTTGTCCTCTGATAGCTTCTGCATGAATGCAGCACACATCATACACATATTCAAGCACTCGCAAAATTTAAAAATCCATATATTTAAAAAGAATCCTAAGCTGGGCATTGGTGGCACACGCCTTTAATCCCAGCACTCGGGAGGCAGAGGCAGACGGATCTCTGTGAGTTCGAGGCCAGCCTGGTCTGCAGAGTGAGTGCCAGGATAGGCTCCAAAGCTACACAGAGAAACCCTGCCTCAAAGGAAAAAAAAAATCCTTTTACCAGAAAAGAAAATTTCAGTTTGGAAGCAAATCTAAGGGAAATGACAAAGTACAAAGGTGGCAGAGGGAGTTTCAGCAGGTTTTACCTGAAAGCTATTGACTCCAGTATTGCTCGGACGAGATGGTATTTACTGGTGGAATGCTTCAAACCCATAAAAGAGGCACACGCACAGGGGTCATTTAATGGGGCCTAAAGTAAGAGATGAAAAGGACATTATTTATATTCTAAATTACATCTACAGGTTTGATATGGATCACAAAACACAGCCATGCTAGAAGAATGCTCTTTTAAATAATTTAAAATAAATTACAATCCAAAGAGCTGATTAAACAAGATAACCATTCATTCCTTCATTCATGCATGCATGCATGCATGGACAGGGTCTCACCATGTAACCCAAACTGGCCTGGAACTCATTATGTAGACTAGGCTGTCCTCAAACTCCCAGAAAAATCACCTGCTTCTGCCTCCCAAGTGCTGAGATTAAAGGAATGTGCCAACATACTTGGCTGCTATCTTATGATAGGGTTCTCATAGAGGCCAACCTGGTCTTGAATTTACTATGTAAGCAAAGCCATCCTTGAACCCCTGATCATGCTTCCACCTCACAAGTGCTGAGATTACAGGCTGGAGCCACCACCTTGAGGTTTTCAGATTTTTTAAAAAAATTTTCATGTATGGTCTATGTTCTTGTGGGTATATGCCACATGTATGCAGGAACCTGTAAATAACAGCAGGGGGCACTAGATCCCCTGGAGCTGGAGTTACAGGCTGTTGAGAACTGGGAAGCAAATGTTAGCTCTCTGGAAGAGCAGCAAGCTGAATCCCCACCCTCACCCCTTTTACATTGTATACCCTATTACTATTTTAGAGGTGTGTGCGGCAAGGAGAAGCTATAGAGATGTTGTCAAAAACAAAGTCACTATAAAATCCCCGAGCATGGGTTTCTCTCATCCTCCAAGCATGCACCACCACCCTCTGTTCTATGCAATATTGGAGATCAAGTCAAGACTTAATGCATCCTAGACAAGTGTTTTATTAACAGAGCTATATTCTACTTGCCCAGCCATGAAAAAAAATTATTTACAGAAGCTGGGTTTTTCTTTTTAAGGAGTATTTTTTGTTTCTTTGTTTTTGGTGCTTATTTATTTAGAGACACGCTTTCTCTGTGTAATAGCCCTGGCTGTCCTAGAACCCCTTTTTTGTTTGTTTTGTTCTTGAAACAGGGTTTCTTTGTATAGCCCAGGCTGTCCTAGAACTTGCTCTGTAGACCAAGCTGGCCCCACCACTGCCCAGTTAATTTTGTTAATTCTACACCTGAAAACATTTCCTAAATCTTTGTGACAGCATTCTAAGCCAGAGGCACATACAACTCTGTTAATTAGATATAAAATTAAGTATTTCAAAGTCAGACCTTTTACTGGGTTCGCTTTTGATCAGTCCAAGTAAACCATAGTCTGTCTACCATAAAAGTTGAAAAGAAGCCAGGTGTTGGTGGCACACCCCTTTAATCCCAGCACTCAGGAGGCAGAGGCAGGCAGATCTCTATGAGTGCAAGGCCAGCCTGGTCTACAGAGTGAGTTACAGGACAATCTCCAAAGCCACAGAGAAACCCTGTCTCGAAACACCCACACCAAAAACAGTTGAAAATAAAGGTTTTTGTTTGTTTTGTTTTTAAAGATTTTATTTATTTATTATGTATACAGTCTTCTGCCTGCATGCCAGCAGAGGGCACCAGATCTCATTCAAGGTGGTTGTGAGCCACCGTGTGATTGCTGGGAATTGAACTCAGGAACTCTGGAAAAACAATCAGTGCTCTTAACTGCTGAGCCATCTCTCCAGCCCCAAAAATAAAGTTTGATTTTTGGGGAAAAGCTAATGAAACCTTTAGATAAAGTTCAGAATAAATGCATAGGTTTATATGAGTGCCATGATGTCATTATTTTTTTCTCTTTCTTTGTTTTGTTTTTGAGACAGGGCCTCTCTATATAGTCCTAGCTGGCCTTGAGTTTACATAGATCTTCCTGCCTCTGTCTCCAAAGTGCTGGTTATGAGATTAAAGTTGTGTACCACCAGGGCCAGTGACATCATTTTTCTAATTCTCAACAGTATACTTTCTCTAAGTAAAGAATACCCATTTGCTGATACACACTGCCTAACAACCCAGAAGTGCCTATTTATAACTCAACCGTAGGCCATATTAAAGTTCTATAACAAACCTGATAACTTTTAGTCCCCACTTCCATAGAACTGAAAGTTGACAGCAGCTGAATTCTGTAATGCAGCCAAACTATCAGGGTCTCATATAGAGATCACACTGCTCCCCGATAGAATCTGTGCTAACTTGGCATATTTTCCCTGTCCTAGAATGTACCTTTCCTGCCAGGCCTGATTACTCATTCAGGTAACAGAAGAACAGCTGTGTAATTTGGGGTATGGCTGGAGGAGAAACTGTTTGCCAATGCTGTAACTCTGTAAGAAAATACCTGCAATCCATTAAACGATGGAACAAAATAAACCCCTTCAGAATCTTCCAGACTCAGGGCCATTTTCTCAGTCTCAGCAGCATCTGTGAAAAGATCTGCAAAAACAAACAACAAAACTCTAAAATAAAAGGAAGCAGTTGGGGAGGGACAAACAGAATCACATTGCACAACCACAAATTTGGACTAGAACACAAAAGCTTTTCATTTAAAAGGGTCAACACAAGAGGCAACCTTTCACTGTGCAAAGGTTTACAGCAAAGGTTTGGACAGGGAGACACCCCTAAAGGTCCTTCTAGATAAGTTCTGTATGTAGCAGGCCTTATTTTTTTTTTCATTAAAGGTATTTGGGTAAGTTGAAGAATCCATTCTATGGGTTGGTTGTTTTTTTTTTTTTTTTATGTTTGTTTGCTGTTGTTGTTAGTATTTAGGCATCTGTACTGGCCTGTCCTTGAGGTTCTGACACCCTCAGCTGCAGCCACTAAGAGCACCACCTGCGCCTATTCACTATGTTCCCTTTCAAAAGGGCCCTGCCCACCTCCCATCTCTTTCTCTCTTTTCCTTTCTCTCCCTCTCTCTGCCTGTCTGCCCCCCACCTCTTTCTCCTCTCTCCTGCTGCTCTTCACCCTTCCCTTTCCCCTTTTTATGGTTCCTTTCCCTAATAAAAACACCCCTCTGCTTGAACTCTGTGGCATGGTGTCTTTCTCTCGGTCGCCGCTTTACAACAGTTGTTGTCATTATATATTATTTCCAACTGGACATAGTGATGTATACCTGCAATCTCAGTACTTGGAAAGCTAAGGCAGGAGAACCACCATATAGGTTCAAGGATAGCCTGGGCTATACAGTAAGATCCTGTTTCGAAAGCAACAAACCAAAGATTATTCTCCTTTGGCTGGCAGTACAGCTCAGGGGTACACCGAGTGGGTACCTTAATGTGTTTCATATGCAGGAGGCTATGGGTTTAATTCTCAGCACGTGCGCTCGTGCGCGCACACACACACACGCACACACACACACACACACACTAAAAAAATTAAAAAAATAAAAAAAAACACCCACAAAATAAACAAACAAAACCCAACAACAAAAAGATTCAGAGTTAAAACACACCCCAGGTTTTTGGACACTGGAATCCTCTACCTATAGAAACTTCACTTGAAGCCAGGCAGTGGTGGTGTAAGCCTTTAATCCCAGCACTCGGGAGGCAGAGGCAGGGGAATTCGAGACCAGCCTGATCTACAAGATCTAGATCCACTTGATCAAGCGAAAAAAACAAACAAACAAAAAAAAACCTTCTCATTTAATGAGTTCAATAAGGGAGCAGTAATAGACTAAAGGTCACTCTTTTACAAAACAAGCAAACAAAAGGAATCGAGTCTTAATTCAGTCATTAAAGTTTTTACTGAAATGTATTGCATATTGGGAAAATGTCCAAATCCAGGAGGCTGAGGCAGGAGGACTGGGAGTTCAGGGCATCTTCAGCTATATATCAAATTCAAAGCCAGCCAGGGCTACACGAGACCCTACCAAACAAACAAACAAACCAAAAAGAAACCCAAAACAAACAAACAAAAATCCTACAGAGGGAAAAAAGGTAGAAAAGAAAAAGGCACACAGCTTTAATCCCAACAGAAGTACTTGGGTCTCTAAATTCAAGGCTAGCATGGTCTACAAAGCAACTTCCAGGGCAGCCAGGGCTACACAGAGAAACCCTGTTAAATAAAAAAAAAAAAAAAAAAAGTCCAAGATTGATAGAATTCTTTTGTCTAGTGCTGTGGACAAAAGACCCAGGGTCTTGTGCATGGTAAGTTGCGGTGGGATAAATCTTCTGTACACTGTGAAGATGTGTTGCTTTCATTGTTAATAAAAAGATGATTGGCTGATGGCTAGGCAGGGTTTTCAGGGCAGAGAGAATGCTGGGGAGAATGACGGAGTCAGGAGGAGATGCCATGAGACACAGAGCGAGCAGGGTGGGAAACACATACACGAGGTAAATGAGCCTCGGGGCAGCACATAGGTGTTTGTAATCCACTTATTCCCACACCACACAGAATTTCATTGTGAGATTACATAACTTATAAGTCTATTCTGTAAGAATATGGGGGAGTTTCTGGTGTTTGGCCATGCTGAACAGTTGTGTGCATTCTTTTCAGTGGAAGTGGCTGATATTTTTGTGTTTATTAATACCAATGAATAGAATAGGTAGTTAAAAGAGCCTCATATTTACAGCTGGCTTTGGCAAGACTGCTGAATAACTATTTAAAGTGGTTGGCTCAAGATTTCCATTGACTTCATCTTCTTCCCAGTATTTAACATTGACGTTTTTTTTTCGTTTTAGCTATTTTGGTGGTTTCCATGACAGTCTGAGTCTCACTTCCCTATTTACTATGTTAAAGATTTTTCATTTAGATATAAACCTCTGAACTTGACCCTCTATGAACGAGGTAGCCATTTAAAAAAAATGGGGTCTCATGTAGTCCAGGCTGCCCTAAAACTTGACATATAGCCATTGATGGTCTTGAATAACTTCATCCTTACAACCATGTGCCATTCACACATCTTTTTTTCTTTTCTTTTTTAATACACAGTTTTATGTAGCCCAGGTTGGCCTAGAACTCTCTGTGTAACCAAGGATGACCCTGAATCCCTGACGTCCTGCTTCTACCTGTCCTATTATGCTGGGATTACACTATCATACTCAATTCCTGCAGTTCTGGGATCAAATTCAGGATTCTGTGCACCTTAGGCAAATGCTCTACCAACTGAGCTAAACTCCCAGCCTGAAGTATAATAACCTCTGAATGAGAGAGTAGCAGAGTTCAGGTGAAAAACCAGTCAAGCAGATAGTGCTGTCACATCACACCTTAACTGAAGTGGCTTCATTTCACTATTGGGTTTGTTACACTAAGAAAAGAAAGACAAAGAGAATCAGTGCTGAAACTCAAGTTAATAAAGATCATTTTTGGTTGAGTGTGCAGCTAAGTCCCTGTCTAGAACATGCAAGGTTTGCTCCCTAATACTGCAATTAATCTATCAATATAATGCCTACAAACTTTACTCAACTTGACAGGTATCAGATCCATTAAGTTTTATCCATTTGGTCAAAACGTCCAGATGACAGATCAAAATAAATCTGGTATTTCAAAATCACATATTTACACCCTTAGATTTTTTTCTTTTTTCCTTTCTTTTTTCTTTTTGGTTTTTCGAGACAGGGTTTCTCTGTGGCTTTAGAGCCTATCCTGGCACTTGCCCTGTAGACCAGGCTGGCCTTGAACTCACAGAGATCACCTGCCTCTGCCTCCTGAGTGCTGGGATTAAAGGCGTGCACCAGCAATGCCCCGCTGATTTTTTTTTTTCCTTTTTTTCTTTCAGGTCCAACCTCCTATGGTAAGAGCAACCATAACCTCACAGCCCAGGCACACAGCTGCCAGCAAGAGGATGAGGTAGGGGAATCTGAGTACAGGGGAAGGTGGTATATCCACTCCAGGTAGCCCTATGTCTGGCAATACACACAGTATCAGTCTTAACAAAATTTCAGGATGAGGGCTCAGGAGATGGCTCAGTCGGTAAGTGTCCTAGCTGTGCAAGCGTGAGGACAGAAGTTCAAATACGCTGGACCCATAAAAATCGGCCATGGTTTCACAAGCCTGTAACTCTAGCATTACCAGGGCAGGTTCACTGAGCAGCCAACCTAGCTAAACAGGTGAGTTTTGCCTTCAGTGAGAGACCCTGCCTTATAAGGAATAAATCAGGGCTGGAAAGATGGATCAGTAGTTAAGGGCACTGGCTGCTCTTCCAGAGGCCCCAGATTTGATTCCCATCACCCACTTTGTGGCTCACAACCATCTCTAATTTTAGTTTCAGGACCTCCATTGCCTCTCCTGGCCTCCGAGGACACCAGGCATGCACTTGATACACGGATGTACATGCAGGCAAAACATTCACACAGGTCAAATAAATAAATACATAAATACATATTTTTTAAAAAGTTAGGAAAAAACATATATCAAAGCAAGATAGAAGGAGATACTTGACATTCTCGCTGGCCTTTGTACATACACACAAGTATGTACCATACACAGACACAATAAAAAAATTAAAACCTTGTGGGGGGGCTGGAGGTGGCTCAGTGATTAAGAGCACTGGCTGTTCTTCCAGAGGACCTGGGTTCAATTCCCAACACCCACATGGTAGCCCATAACTGTAACTCCAGTTCCAGGGGATCTGACACCTTTATACCAATGCACATAAAAGTTAAATAAATTATAAAAAATATTAAAAAAAAACATTTTTTTTTTCTTTTAAGACAGGGTCTCACTGTATAACCCTGGCTGTCCTAGAACTCACTATGTAGATCAGGCCAGATGTGAACTCACAGATTCTCACCTGCCTCTGCCTCCCTAGTGCTGAGATGAAAGGTATATATCACTATGCCTGGCATAAAACTAAAAATATTTTTTATAGTATGGTTTTCAGTTTGTTGTTTTTATGGGACACCTGAGTATCCAAACTATGGTCTCTCTGATTCTTTTGTTTCTTTGTTTTTCCCAGATAGGGTTTTTTTTTTGTGTAGCTTCTGGAGCCTGTCCTGGAACTCCATCTGTAGACCAGGCTGGCCTCACAGAGATCCGCCTGCCTCTGCCTCCCGAGTGCCACTACTGCCCGGCCTCTTGTGCCTTTTTTAGACTCCTTTCCTTCTGTTTGCCTTGTCCAATTCTAATATGTTAGTTTTCTTTCGTTTTATCTTTTGTATTATATTTTATTGTTATCCTTTAGAAGACCATTTCTAAAGAGAGACAGAAAGGGAATGGATCCAGGTGGGAGGGGAGGTGGGAACAAATGGAAAGGAGGGGTGTTAGGTCTCAAACCTGGGACAAAGGACTAACTGAGGTGCCTGTTTAACATATCAAGGCGGATTCTAGCCACCAGCGTCCCTCAGTCCCAACCTGTGGCAAAGTCCTGGCTCATCAACACTTCTCACCCTGCCCCCTACCTCAAACTCTGCAGCTCCTAAGCTTCACTCCCAGCACCATAACTGCTCTGCCCGATACAACCTCAGCCATTTTGGCTGTATGGTCTCTTGGCCTTTTGG